ACCCTATAGCGGTTTTCTAACTGACTGTCCTCTTCCTCTCATACTCTTACTCTTTCTGTATAACCTTAGACCCAAGCAAAATCTAAGATAGGCCTCAAGCTAACTCTGACTTCCCCTATCCCTAATCCAACTAGGCCAAGCCGTAACCCTGAATATCGTTTTGCATGACTGACATGCTGGCTTGTGTGCACTAAAACTGGAAATCAGCTGATTTCTCAGATGGCACCGTATGGCTTTTCACCCTTCTCATAGTGCTAAATCATAGTTGTCTACCATTTAAGTGGGCAAACCTGTCGGTTTACGGTTTGGGTAAAATAATGAAAAGAACAATTTAGAACGGGCAAATTTCGTCGTGGAACTCGCATTTACCGTGTACAAATCACTTTCCATTTATCGAAAAACGGTCTCGAAAACCAGAAACTGAAACTCTAACATGTAATGAAAATAAACAAAGCGGACCACTACGACGTAATTACTTAAAAAACAACAACAACAACAACAACAACAACAAGATGGCTCAGCGACAGATTCAGTGTTTACACCATAACGGATAGCTGGGCTTCTGTTCGCCATTTAAAAACGATGATTTCGGCGCGATTTCTGTAACAGAGCGAAGCTTCGCCATTTGGTGCAATCAGTCCCTGTCACATTTTATGAGCTCATTTTAACCCAAATTTTTGTTAAACCCAGGCTTAATGGCTTAAAAGCAGCTACGCCAGCCCACTGGTTCATGTTTATCCATGTAAATGGTAAAGAACCCGCGATATCTTTTATTTCATAACATGTTCACTAACAATACGTATCTCGAAGACCCTCGCAAACAGCTCTAGGGAAAGAGATACAACAGACTGAATGAAGGGGGAGAAAACCCACCTACATGTGTCTTTTTGCGCGAGTTGAAATAATCGCGACATGCGTACAACGACTAAGTCTTTTTAATAGAAGAGACGTTTGAGCTGACATCGCCATCGTCGTTGCTAAAGTTCCCTTTTTCCTAATGTAATCTTCTGTTTTACAATATCTGTTTCCAAGACGCTCTTGTAAATACTAAACACTTGAATGACCATTGAGAGATCTTTTTCTAGTTTAAACGAAATTTGAGAAAGCTAGAATGGCCCTAGTTAGCCTTATCTACGTCGTCTAATCTGCAGCTTTCACCTTTCACTATAGACGGGTATCGTCTACAATCGTCCTTCTGGAAACTGTAAATAGATCTGATAAAATACACGATATATATACAATCATCATTGATATTTTATTGTTGTCATATGATGATCTTTTTTAACACTACTTGAATCTATTTGCAGCTCTAACGAACGAATAAAAGTTTAAAAGTATCTATTTTTTGTAAACTCTGATTATAAATGACCGACACCAGGAGCTGCCGACACATAATAATACGTTTCTTTCAAAAAATAAAAATAGTGATAATAATAATAATAATGATAATGATAATGATAATGATAATAATAAAACACTCTAAAAGTATCATAATAACAAATCTCACCATTTTCTTTGCAAATGGTTTTTGAAGCATGGAACAGCAAAACAACCAATAAGCTAATGGCTGCGAGAGAGCCTGGTACGAATGAAAACACGTCTCGTACGTAGTCCCCACACTCGTCGCAGTTTTCATCGTTACTGCAAAGAAATATTAAACTCGGATTTGCGAAGTGTCAGTTTCTTAAGCATGTTAAATACTTGCCGTTTTCTTATCTTACATTTCCTGCGAATAAAACTGTTTGGTTGTAGTGAAGGAAATGCTCTCTTAGTGTTAAAGAGCAGGACTAAAAAACATGAAGCAGAAATAATTCAATCTTTACTGAACCTTTCAATTTAGAGGTTATTTTCTCGCCTAATAAAGAACAAGACGGACGAGGGTAGAGGAATCACAGATTTCGCAGATTTCGGGATTTTTTACCTTCGGCTGGTCGCTACCCTTCGCATGTAGTCGTTCAAAATTTTCGGAAGTTTATCGAACAGACCTTGTTTAATAACTCAAGGCCCAAGAGGTGTTTAAAGCATATGATTAATTGGCAATATTTCTTGCTAGGTTACCAACAACAAGACGCATTTTTCCCCAAAAGTTAATCTCGAGGTCTTCTTGTGCCTTAACATTATAGTCACGTGATATGTCACGTGACCAAAAATTAAGCATGGTGGAAATTGGATTATAAAATAACTAAGATAGTACGCGCGCTCTGATTGGCCGAGAGGAGCGTTTGCATGAGACTATGTAAACATGGTTGTGGCGTCAAGTTGTTTGGTTTTTCGCGCGCTAATCACGCAAGCACAAATTTGAAAAAGTTTTCGAGTTCAAAACTCAAAAAGTTAGCATTACCAAGGCTTAGTGTGGACACGGAACAAGCGAGAAGCGCGAGAGCTGGAGACAAGCTAGAAGCGCGATAACAATGACCTCAACCCGGTTGTGGCGTCCAGCGGTTTTAGTGAAAACGAGGGTTTGGTTGGGGTGCTCAGTCTCGCCGGCTCATAAAAACTGGTCTCGGTCATTCTTTATATTTAAGGATTTTCTGAGTGATAGCCTTCCCATCACTCCTTTGGCTCCTGCTTTCCTTCCCCTAAAAAGTGATCCTGAGCGACTGGGGACGAGAGCAAAGACACGAATGAATTCAGACTACCCTAATTACAGGAACGCGTTGCCATGGGAAACCGGGTTGTGACGAACCTCTCAACTGTGGACCTGAATAAGTACATTAACGGCTTGTGTGCAAAATATAAGACGGCATACTGATCCTGACGGCAAGGCAATGAACAATTAAACCAAAACAAAAATTGTTTCAACAAATTTGCCCGATGCGTTTCCGTTTGGAAGACAAACAGTCTTTACGGACTAAAATAATTCAGCCCAAGGACACTCCCTAGGGTCACCTAACGACAGTTTTCTCCTGAAAACACTGAAAACACTTTTTCGGCTATCAAGAGTAGTTTTAGATCTGTAGAAATGCATTCTAAGTGGCGCTATAAAATTTGTATCTGTTCGGTCATCCTAGGGGATCTTGAGTCTTTTTTAAATTATGAGGGCTTGACTATTATTTTCCGAAAATTTTAGATGCAATTTGACGTATTACGAAAGTGAGACATCTTCTGATTCCTCTCTCCAGTACACTTTTGAATCCGAAAATTCTAGATTTCCTTTTTTCTACGAAAAATAGCCCAACATGGGGAATGAAATGCGAAAATCAAACTTCAGAAAATCGTTGGGGAATACATTAGATAAGCTTTGAAAATTGTGCATGAAAGAGCTGGTTATATAGAAATTTTTGGCCGTCCTCAAGTGATAGAAAATTCTAGGCAATATTTGCTTCTCCGAACTAATATTTTACTGAAAACAGTCGTTGGGTGCCCCTTACTCTCGAAAACGTGATTTTTTTTTACGGATGTTTATCAGAAGTTTCATGCGCGACGGACGTCGCTACATCAAGAGTACAGAAAGCTTTTGTTGTGCATGGTTATCAAGTTGCTTTAGTACCCTATAGCGGTTTTCTAACTGACTGTCCTCTTCCTCTCATACTCTTACTCTTTCTGTATAACCTTAGACCCAAGCAAAATCTAAGATAGGCCTCAAGCTAACTCTGACTTCCCCTATCCCTAATCCAACTAGGCCAAGCCGTAACCCTGAATATCGTTTTGCATGACTGACATGCTGGCTTGTGTGCACTAAAACTGGAAATCAGCTGATTTCTCAGATGGCACCGTATGGCTTTTCACCCTTCTCATAGTGCTAAATCATAGTTGTCTACCATTTAAGTGGGCAAACCTGTCGGTTTACGGTTTGGGTAAAATAATGAAAAGAACAATTTAGAACGGGCAAATTTCGTCGTGGAACTCGCATTTACCGTGTACAAATCACTTTCCATTTATCGAAAAACGGTCTCGAAAACCAGAAACTGAAACTCTAACATGTAATGAAAATAAACAAAGCGGACCACTACGACGTAATTACTTAAAAAACAACAACAACAACAACAACAACAACAAGATGGCTCAGCGACAGATTCAGTGTTTACACCATAACGGATAGCTGGGCTTCTGTTCGCCATTTAAAAACGATGATTTCGGCGCGATTTCTGTAACAGAGCGAAGCTTCGCCATTTGGTGCAATCAGTCCCTGTCACATTTTATGAGCTCATTTTAACCCAAATTTTTGTTAAACCCAGGCTTAATGGCTTAAAAGCAGCTACGCCAGCCCACTGGTTCATGTTTATCCATGTAAATGGTAAAGAACCCGCGATATCTTTTATTTCATAACATGTTCACTAACAAATACGTATCTCGAAGACCCTCGCAAACAGCTCTAGGGAAAGAGATACAACAGACTGAATGAAGGGGGAGAAAACCCACCTACATGTGTCTTTTTGCGCGAGTTGAAATAATCGCGACATGCGTACAACGACTAAGTCTTTTTAATAGAAGAGACGTTTGAGCTGACATCGCCATCGTCGTTGCTAAAGTTCCCTTTTTCCTAATGTAATCTTCTGTTTTACAATATCTGTTTCCAAGACGCTCTTGTAAATACTAAACACTTGAATGACCATTGAGAGATCTTTTTCTAGTTTAAACGAAATTTGAGAAAGCTAGAATGGCCCTAGTTAGCCTTATCTACGTCGTCTAATCTGCAGCTTTCACCTTTCACTATAGACGGGTATCGTCTACAATCGTCCTTCTGGAAACTGTAAATAGATCTGATAAAATACACGATATATATACAATCATCATTGATATTTTATTGTTGTCATATGATGATCTTTTTTAACACTACTTGAATCTATTTGCAGCTCTAACGAACGAATAAAAGTTTAAAAGTATCTATTTTTTGTAAACTCTGATTATAAATGACCGACACCAGGAGCTGCCGACACATAATAATACGTTTCTTTCAAAAAATAAAAATAGTGATAATAATAATAATAATGATAATGATAATGATAATGATAATAATAAAACACTCTAAAAGTATCATAATAACAAATCTCACCATT